TGCCCCCTCCAGGCCCTGAGGGCCTTCGCCCTGCAGCATCCCACTGTCGTGCCCCGCTTTGTCCAGGCCGTTTCCGAGGGGGCAGACTGCCAGAGACCTGTGTATACCTACAACAACATCACCTGCGCCAGTCCCCCCAGCATCTCGGGGCCAGAATCACATGTCCTCCTGGTAAAGGTGATGTTTGTTTTTCATATCAATGCCTCTCTCTCTCTTTTCCTTTCTTTCTCTAAAAAAAAAAAATCAATAAATAATATTTTAAAATAATTTTTAAAAAGAACCAACAAAACATAACACAAATCTTTACTCACTAAAACTGTGTGGAATTGGGCCAGGACCCAATCCACAGCTCTTGGAGGGGCCACGTGCAGACAGGACTGTCTATGTCTTTCCCTGCTGTGTCGCCAGGGCCTGGTAGCGTCTCAATAAATGCATGTGAGAGGAAGGTATAGCAATTATCACAGAGCAGGTCTGTCCTCGCGGGTCCCAGCCAACCTGGGCACTGACTTCCTGTGGTCAGCAGTGACCTGTGGGCACCAGCCTCCCCTCTGCCACACGCGCCTTGGCCAGCTCCACGCGATGGATGGCACATTTAAAGTGTCAGCCCACGACCAGGACACTGCCAGAGGCCGCTGCTGGTTCACTGTGTCCATGGCTTGTCATTTTACAGATGAGAGAGAAGGGCCTTGAGTGAAGGGCAGTCTCTAAGTCTGTTGCTCTGATCGTTCATTGTTACTATTTACCTCTTTATTCCCTCTAACCCGGTTAGGGCTGCCGATGTATCACAGGCACTCCGTAAGTGTTGGCTGCACTGAAAGAGCCCCTTCATCTTGGTCCCTGAGGTCTCAGAAAAGCAACCACATCAAAGAGAATACACTTGGCTTTTTTCTTTTTATTGATAAGAAATCAGGCGAAAGTTGAGAGCAGAATGCTGAGAGCTGCTAGGAAGTAGGAGGGTGGGGGTGGTCAGGGAGCCGAGGGGTTGCTGGGGCCTGGAGGATGCCCTCTCCTGTGATTGGGGCCCAGCTGTTACTCTCCTCCCTTCAGCATGTGAAGGACCTGATCAGTAAAAATCCCTGCGTAAGTGCTCACAGCTGCCGTGCTTTCGCTGTACACCTCCCTGTGGAGAAAGGACAGAGGGTCTGAGAAGGGTTGGGGCTGGGGGCCTGGACTCCTGGGTCTGAGGGAGGAGGGGCTGGAGGCCTGGACCCCTGGGTCTGAGGGAGGAGGGGCTGGAGGCCTGGACCCCTGGGTCTGAGGGAGGAGGGGCTGGGGGCCTGGACCCCTGGGTCTGAGGGAGGAGGGGCTGGAGGCCTGGACCCCTGGGTCTGAGGGAGGAGGGGCTGGGGGCCTGGACCCCTGGGTCTGAGGGAGGAGGGGCTGGAGGCCTGGACCCCTGGGTCTGAGGGAGGAGGGGCTGGGGGCCTGGACCCCTGGGTCTGAGGGAGGAGGGGCTGGAGGCCTGGACCCCTGGGTCTGAGGGAGGAGGGGCTGGGGGCCTGGACCCCTGGGTCTGAGGGAGGAGGGGCTGGAGGCCTCTCCTGGTGTCTGGGGGGGCGGGGGGGTGATACCTGATCTTCTTATCCATGGAGGGCAGGTAGGTCATCATGTACAGGTCCTGGGCGGCGTTTTTGGCTGTATCCCAGTAACCAAGAAGTGATTCCTGCATCTGGGAGAACAGCGTGGCGCTGGCGGCCTCATCTTGCTGGGGCGTAGGGGCCCCCTGGACCTCTGCAGGGGAGAGTGGGTTAGGAGAGCTGATGGGCGCGCAGCAGAGGGGAGTGGGCAGGGAAGGAGGGGGGAGGGGCAGGGCCAAGGCCAGACTAGAACTGTGATGGGAAGATGCTTAGGGCACATCCCCCTCCCACAGACCCACCTCCCCTGCCGACCACTCTCACCAAATCCCAATACCAGGAGGATGAGAAACAGAGCCAGGAGGTATCGGGTGCCCATGGCGTCAGGAGAGCTGGAACGCTGAGGAGGGGGTGGGGCAGGCCACTGGAGGCATCTATTCCTGGGGTCCCCGCCCTCAAAGGGGGGCTGAGCTCCCTCTGCCTTCCCCGCCCCACCCCGCTTCACACCCAAGTCAAGCTCCTCATGGGTTGGCTTGCGCCTCCCTGTCTAACATCCTGTGACTCTACTCCTGATCTTAACATCGTAATTCTCACACCCATTCATTCACTCCAGAAGCATTTCTTGAGCGTCTATCAGGTGTCAGGCACAGCTCCGGACCTGGCCGTGAGCACAGCGAGGGCCAGCCCTTCGGAAGCGGACAGGAGAGAGAATGCAATGAGCAGGTATCACGTGAGGGAATAAATACCGTGTGTTCCCTGGAGACACCTGCTCTGGGGGGAAGGCTGCGCTGGAGCCTGGGGGCGCCTCCGCTGACGCAGCCTGCAGGGCCTCAGCTAAGGACCAGCGTTTGGCTGAGTTTTGTCTGCCACCCTGTTCTCCCCCTTCGCTCCCTCAGCCTGTGTCGCTGTGAAGAGGTGGAGAGCGGGCCTGGAGGGGGGCCCGCCTGGACCAACGTCCACAATCCCAAATTCCGTGTTTCTAACCCAGGAATCTAACACCCTGACTTTATTTTTTTTGGTGAATCCTCACCAGTGGACATTTTTCCATTGATTTTTAGAGAGAATGGAAGGGAGGGGGAGAGACACAGAGAGAGAGAAACATCGATGTGAGAGAGACACATCGATTGGTTGCCTCCTGCATGCCCCCGACCAGGGCCAGGGACCCAGCCTGCAACCGGGGTACGTGCCCTTGACTGGAATCGAACCCGGGACCCTTCAGTCGGAGGACGGACGCTCTATCCAGTGAGCCACACCGGTAGGGCCCTCCTGACTTTTGAACAATCTTTGCTCCCTCCCCACTGACCACCTCCCCCATCTGGGTCCCCCTCTTACCAGGCTCTGGAGGGAGGTCCTCACCAGCTCCCAAGGGCAGAGAAAGGCTTTATAGCTCCGGGGATCCACCTCCCCTCCACCCGGCTGCCTAGGCCAAAGTCCAGGCCAACAGAGCCACCGAGGGGGAGGGGGAGGGCCACAAGGGCAGCCACATCCCCTGAGGTCAAGCCCCCCTCTGAAAATTCTACCCCTGAGAGTGACAGGCCGCGAGGGGGCTGTGGAGGGGTTGGGGGCCTTCAGCGCCCCCCCCAGGAGTGGGATCTGGGGTCTTCATCGCGTGGGACGTGGAGGCAGAGCTCTGAATGAGGGGTGTCTGTGGGGACCTGCGAACCCACCTCCTCTCCAGCTTCCACTCTCCATCCCAAATGGAGGAGCCGGAAGTCTCCACCCCACACAAGCCCGAAGCGGGTCTGAGGACTGAGGGTGGGCACCCCCCTGACTCCTTCCCCTAGGCCTCTCCCCCCACCCGGCCCCGCGCACGCACTGACTATACCCCTCCCTTTTGGGGGGTCACTTCCTCATTAACTGCGGGGGCGGGGGTGCTTGGAGTGGGCTCATCTCTGGCCTCATGGAGAACAGACTGGGACGGGGACACAGACAAGAACGTCTTTATTGTGGAGGCTGTGAACGCTTTAACCCTGGTCCCTCTCACCACAGAGAAGTTGGGGGCACAGGTTGTGGGCCTTGTTCAGGAGGTTGTCCTTGGAGCTTCGGAGCCAGGCCTGGGCGCGAGGACCCAGGTCCTTTAGGTGGTCCTCATAGTAGGTCTGCACAAAGCCCTGGACGGCTGGGGGGACCCTGTGGGAGAGGGGATGTCACAGTTGAGACCCCAGCTATCCCAACACGTTCTCATTCACCCCCTCCTCCCTCACACCCAGGGGTCCAGGCCCCCAGCCCCTCCTCCCTCAGACCCAGGGGTCCAGGCCCCCAGCCCCTCCTCCCTCAGACCCCAGGGTCCAGGCCCCCCCCAGGGGTCCAGCCCCCAGCCCCTCCTCCCTCAGACCCAGGGGTTCAGGCCCCCAGCCCCTCTTGTGTTTACTCACTGGAACCACTGCCACGTGTCTCTCGTCTTTGTCACCAGCGGCCCCACCAGCCCCTTCACCTTTTCGCGCACCAGGTTCCAGGAACTACTTGCCAGGCCGGGCGGCGGGGTCGGGGGGCTTGGGGTACCTGCATGCCCTCCTCCCTGGCATTCTGAGGGTGACAGGGAGCGCCTTGGCTAGGCTGGGATCCCAGAACCCTGCGCCCTCCCTGCCCACTGTCACTGTCACTCCTGGTGGCCCACGGGCAGCCCTTCGCCAGGTCCTGGCCTTCACCCCCTTATATGTCCCGCTCTCTCGCCGCTGCCCTCCCTCAGCCATTGGTCATCTCCCTTCCCCCTCTGTGCCCGCGGCCCCTCCTGTCACCCCTCTGTGGTTCTCTCCCTCGCCCATCCCCCCACCTCTCTGACCCCAATGTCTGTCCCGGTGCCGCCTTCACCACGGATCTTGCTGCCCCTCCGTTCTCCCGTGAACCCCACACCGAACTCCCCCCAGGGCACAGGGGGCCGGTGCCCCCGGGGATGGAGCCGGCAGGGCTGTGCTGTCCTGGTGAGCGCTGCCCTCCCTTGCACCCGGCAAAGCCTCACCCACTGAGCCGCCACCACACAGCTGCACATGTACACGCATGTACAGAGGCACCCATGTGACGGGCGGTGTGCCCTCGGCCAATGACCGACCCTCTTCCAGGCTCAGTTTCCCTTTCTGTGGCATGGGCTGATGACAGGACCCACCGCATGGGTTACCGTGGGATTCAGAATGAACTCGGGTCAGGCACTCGCACCGGTGCCTTACACACTGAGGCGCTGTCTACGTGTTAAAACTGTACATGCACGAGCACACGGGGTGGACTCGCTCCGGGGCTCACACACGCCCTCACACGTGGACACACTCAAAGCTTTTCCATGAAGACCCCACAAAGGCACACGTGCGCGCGTAGGCGTATACACGCATGCTCACAGACACACACGTTCACCAGGACTGCACATTCATGCTTATACACACATGCATGACCACTGGCATGTGTTCCAACCCCACATACACCCTTCACACACAACTGCCACTGACACACACTCTCCAAGAGCACGCATGTCTACAAACGGCACTGCACGTCACAGTCACACTCATCCCCCGCCGCTGCGGGGTCCCCACAGCCCCCCACCCACAACTTCTCACCCACAACACAGGCCAGGACCACAGCGCAGAGGCCGAGGGCGGCTAGGGCCCGGGGCCTGAGTCCAGGGAGCAGCATTTCTGGGGGCTCTGTCTCTCTGTGCTCAGCGATCCGGGCTGGGGGAGGGGAGGCTGCACAGCCCTCCCCCGGCCTCCCACGCCCCTTGGCAGGGACTTCAGAGAGAGGGACCTACATGGCCGTGACCATCAGAGGCTACGCCCGCCCCCACTGTCCTCCCCCCTGCCTGCCTTCCCAGCTCCTGGCAAGAGAGGGGAAGGCAGAACATTCGTGGGCCTCCGGTGCTGAACCAGGTTCAAACCTGGCTCCACCCCATGTGACTTCATGGGACAGTCACCAGTTCTGGCCTCAGTTTCCTGCTCTGTAAAATGGGCCCAGAATCCATGCTTCAGGCAGGACATTAACTCAAGGAGATGATACAAGGAAAGGTGCTAACACAGAGCCTGGCAATGAATGTGGTCATAGATCATAGCTGTGTACGATTATTTCTTTCTTCTCTAACATATCTTGGCTATTGGGCCAGACACACTCTCACCACGTGGCCTGGGCAAATACATCCCCTTCTCTGGGCCTCAGTGTTTTCATCTGTAAAATGGGGGTGGTAATAAGCACCTGCCGTGCAGCGTCCGTGTGAAGGCTGGGTGAGGCCCGGGAGGGAAAGCTCCAGATGCGTGTAGTAGGAGGTTGTCGGCATCAGGTTGGTGCCCAACGCTAGACAGAACGAAAATGAGCCTATTTTGCCCTGGCCGGGTAGCTCAGTTGATTAGCGCATCATACTGATACTCCAAGGTTGTGGGTTCGATCCCAGGTCAGGGCACATACAAGAATCAACCAATGAATATAAATAAGTGGAACAACATATTGATGTTTCTCTCTCTCAAAACAAAGACAACATAAAACAGAAAATTATCTTATGTTTTCTTTTATTTTTTCAAAATCTTTATTGTTGAAAGTATTACATATGCCCCCCTCCCCGTTGACCCGTCTACCCCAGGCCTTCACCACCCTATTGTCTGTGTCGATGGATTATGCATATATATATATATACACACACATATATGAGAAAATCATTTTTAAAAAGAAGTCCTCGGTCTAGGGTTGCCAGATCAAATGCAGGACTCCCGGTGATGTGGGCATGTCAGATAAATGACGCATTTTACTTCCAGTGTCGGTATGTCCCATTGAGCATGTGGGAATTATACTAAAAATGATCTGTTGTTTATCTGAAATTCAGGTCTCACGGGGCGTCCTGTATTTGTGGGAGGAAATCTGGCAACCCCAGCAGGGGCCCAGCCTGAACACCCGCCCAAGGAGTCACGGACCACCCACCCGGGGAGATGGTCCACGCACAGCGCCGTGGGCCGTGCCAGGTACCACAGAGATGCCGGGCCCTGTCAGCTGTTGTTTACGAAGCTTGTGTTTCCCGGAGCACCAGGCGCTTGGGCAGGGCTTTAGCGCATTAACTCGCTCACTTAACTCTCAGCGGCCGGAGGAAGTGGGCCTCTGTATCATTCCCATTTCGCAGATGAGGAAACGGAGGCTGCCGGGGTGGGAGTGCGGGGAAGGCCACTTACCCACGCTACCTCGCCAAGCCAGAGCACCCGCTGCCCCACCTCCCCGCCTGAACCCCAGAGGCCAAGAGGGAGGTCGCTGACCCCTGCCCCAGCTCCAAGGTCGGCTGACTGTTTGCTGTTCGCTTCTTGCAATGTTTGCCCACCTCGGGGCCAGGAACAGGCTGAAGGTCGTTCAGGGTGGACCTCAGAGGCAGCTCGAAAACAACCCGGCAGGAGGGGGTGTGTTGGGGGCAGAAAGGTCGTGAGGAAGGTGTGTGGGGGGGTGTCATTTGCAAGCGGTCGGCAGGCCTGCAGACCCCAGTGTGTGTGTCCGCCCCAAGTTTGAGGCTCTATTCCAAAGCAGTGAGCCCTGGCCTGTGTGGCCCAGTTGGTTAGTGTGTTGTCCCCTGTCCCCATGCACCAAAAGGTTGCAGGTTCGACCCTCTGTCAGGGTATGTGTGGGAGGCAACAGATTGATATTTCTCTCCCACCTCTCTCTCTCTCTCTCTCTCTCTCTCTCTCTCTCTCTCTCTCTCCTCTCTCTCTAAGCTTGTCCTTGGGTGAGGATTTTTAAAAAAGAAAAAGAAATTGATTGGCTCTAAACTGCTAGAGAAATGGCGAAGTAAAAATTAGTACTTGTTCAATTAAAGGGGTACAAAATATACTCTTTTTTAAAAAAAATTTTAAATTCTTTATTGTTTAAAGTATTTTCCCCCCGTTGACCTCTCCCCAGCCACCCCCACCCCCCAGCACATGCCCTCACTCTCTACTGTCTGTGTCCATGGATTAGGTCTATGTGCACGCACACAAGTCCTTTGGTTGATCTCTTACCCCACCCCCCACCGCCCCGCCTTCCCCCTGAGGTTGGACGGTCTGTTCGATGCTGCTCTGGATTTGTTTTTGTTCATTAGTTTATGTTGTTCAGGATGTGCTCTTAAACCCACTGGCCAACCATAGCGCAATGCCTCACCCGGTTGTTATCTAATGAGGGACGAGGCTGGGTGACTCGGGGAAGAGGAAGGTGGACTGAGGGAGAATGTGGCCCTGGGACCCCCACCTGGGCTGTGGCATCACGCAGTGACTTTAACCGACTGTGTCTCACTCGGCTTCTTCCTCTGTACGACGGGGTCGGCGAGAGTCTACCTAGAGGGGTTTTGTAAAAATTTAATGCTTCGTGTTTGTTTTGTTTTTCCAGATTTAGCACGTTTGTTTCTGCTGGGGTCCAACCCCAGCAGGTCCAGGGGTCCCCAAAGGAGTGGACGGAGTCGGTGAAGAAGGAATGACACGGAGACAGCGTTCAGTTGATCAGCAGCCT